TCAATCAACAATTGCAATTTAATTGTTGGATTTTAGACATACGAACCCAGCGTACACGCAGCAGAATTTTAAAATTTTCTTACCAACAACGAAGATCCGGTTAATAGCGATTTGATATGATCCTAGATCGCGTGCATGATACACGAAAACTTACAGTTATTCAGTCTTGTCCTCGACTATGGTATCCACGCAATCCAGTTTTCCGATGCACGATCCAACGCCAATGAATCCTCTCCGGTGAAGAAGCTAGGAATCTTCGAGCCAGAAAGCTAGAGAGTGTTTTGATAGATCTCATGATGTTACGCTACGTAACATCCTTCTTCTATTTTATCTGATCTAATCTAATGATGACTATTAAGAGATAATGACCTATTTATAATTAGGTCAAAACTTAATTATATGGGCCTTAGGATACCCTACAGCCTAATAGGTAATTGGACATAATCCAATTAATATTTTAATTAAGTATAAAAATCCAATTTAACTTAATTAAATATTTTCTATAAAATAGAAAATTATCTCATCACTAATAAAGTATAAATCTAATTTAACTTAATTAAATATTTTCCATCAAATAGAAAATAATCTCATTACTCATACATAAATATTCCAATCCAATTGAATATTTAACACTCTCGCACGCTTAGTCGAAAAACTGATTGCTTATTGTGTGACCCTATAGACCTTCATATATTGACATAAATCTAATTTATGATCCTTATGAAACTCCTACACTGCGTAGAAGGACGAACTCAAAATATGAAGTACGTTTACATGGACAAACAAACAAACCTTTAGTGTAGAACTCAATAGTGGTACAGTCCCTTCATTCACAAACCACTCGATTAAGCTTAGAATTTGAACGTGTGTCTATCCAAACATCTTAATCATTTTATCTCATCTCACTGGTTGATTTTATCAATTATATTTGAACATCATTTCAAATATAATCACGTGCATTGGCCAATGACTTTATCAACCCAGTAAAAGAGAAAACGAGTGTTCTCTCGAAACTATATTTGAGGAATGAATCCTATCTTGGCTCAACTATCAATCCCATGTATATCATGATCTACCCAACACGAGCCCGTGTCTACCCATAAGGGCGTAAGTGTTGGACTAGGTCTAAGTAGATCACTCTATACATGAATTGCATATTGACCTCAAGTCAAAGGACTATTACACCATTCTACACACCGATACTCTCATAAACACATAAACAAATGGTTTATCGGTAGAGTATGCCAATAGTCTCCAACGTATCCATATGTCCATCACGAATAACAATTATTCATAGCAGTGAGACATACTATATTCTCCAAGAATATGATGCAGACCACATGTCAATCTATCACGTATCATTAATATCCATTTTTTAATGATCATTGATTGAGGCGCTTTGAGAGTTATACTTTATCAATTAACATCTCACTCTGTTAATGACAGTATTAACTCAAGGGAGCAATTAATTAATAAATTACAAACAATCATACAATTATTTAATTCATTGCAATACCATAATTATAATCCAGTATAATTATTAATGTGACACATATACCAACACCAATAACATATTGACACGTGTAAGTAACTAAAAAATCGAAAGTATACTCAAATCTTTAGTACAAGAAAAAAACATGTCGAAAAACGAATAATTGTTATTTTATCCGGCAAACTCTAGGCAATTTTGAAGCGAACTTAAGACACCAACAATCATAAAAAAGGGACAGGACATAGAGATGCATTGATGCTTTCATAATGCTAATTAGTTCTCTTTGTTTCAACATTGAACCAAAACTAAAACAGGTTAATAATGAACCATAAAAATTCTATGAAGCCATCGGATGATTTTTTTATGGAGTCATCCGCCACTTAATGTATTGACACGTCTCTAAATTTTATTTATTGTAGGACACGTGTCAAAATACTATTGGTGAATAAGTGTGCATGAACCCATAAATCGAGTCATCCGATGATTCTATAGTAAAACTGCAATAAACTATTTAGTTATCATTATTTATTTCCTTTTTTTTTTATTTTTTGAGGTGTAAAAGTTGATGTTCACCAGTTTTATGAAGGTAAATCCGTACATGAGATAAAAAGAACTAAACGCTATTATTTTCTGCCGACACACAAAGGAACAGTTTAAGCAGTAGTAATTGACTTTGATCGATGTTAAATAATATTTAATGTATATGAAAGGGACATCATAGATATTTTCTTATACAAAATATATAAGGTAGATATATAATAATATTATGGAGAATCCAAAGGACGTGAAACAAATATTTGGATGATGACAGATTGACCCTAAATAATAATATTTTGTCACAATATATAGAAAGGCAAGAGAATCGGGTAAAAGAATAGTTCTTTTATGCTATATAATGCGAGGCATCAAAAAAGTTTTTAATTCAATTATGTTTTGAGATTGTGAACTGCGGGTCTCACTACTTATCAAATATTGGACGATTAAATTAGTCCTGCCTTCACTCAGAATTTTTTTATCTCAATCTTTCTGTTTACATATTTGAGGGTTCCACTGTTTCAGACAATCTCATTAGAGCATCTATAATGCATTGGATCTAATCTTGCATATGTGGCACGCAAATAAAGTAAAGTATTGAATGACATGGATAAAACTATATAAAATTAACAAAACTCATTCCAAT